GATGAAACGCTGGAAACGGAGGGTCTACAGGGGTTCAAGGAGAAGATATCCGTTGCTTGTGCCGGGAGAGAAGAACAGAATCTGAGGAAAGAAAACAAGGATAAGGAGGGTCTGGAAGTGTACGGAATGTTGCAGGAAGGAATAGGGTTCAAGGACTACCTACATGGACCAATGGATGCAGGAACAAAGCTTAAGGTCAAATTCAGGACCGGGGACATAGGCCTTCGAGAACGTCGACGAAGACATAGGACGGTAGACGAGGAAGACGACGAGTTCAAATGTGATTGCGGCTTCGAATGCCAAGACCGTGTTCATGTAGTCGCGGAATGTCCGATGTACAAGGAGAGGAGGGAAGTGTACGTGACTGAGCTGGGAAAAATAGATGGAACGTACAGGGAGATGTTTGAGGCATGGAATAGAGAGGAAAGGACGGTAGCTGTACTGGGGCATAGGAGATGGGTTGAAAAGGCGGGAAGAGATATCGTTAGGACAAACAGACTTGGGAAGACATTTTTGAGCCACCTTTGGCAACGTAGAAAGGAACGATTGGCCATCGGTGATCGGTCCTGTGGGAACAATGCTCCGTCCTCTCGAGGACGCGTGGTCAATGGTCTAACCGCTAAGACATGCAAAACATAAGAGTACGCCCCCCCCCTGCTCTGTCCTCTCGACGACGATTTATCAATGGTCACACAACAAACCAAGGCATGGCAAACACACGAGGACGTCCCCCCCCCGCCCCCGCCCCCCCTCACCGTACGGGCACCACGCCACGGAGAGGACGCCCTCCGAGTGTCCCGAGAGGGTGGCCAGCGGCAGGGTTGTCGAGGACCGGAGATCCCACAGCTTGAGCACCGGGTTATTGTCGTCCCCGGAGGCTGCACACCACCATGCCACCACACGACACCAGTGAGCAGTCAGTGATTAGATAAAACAGTAACAGATGGGAGTGCAAACGACAACACACGACACATGAAAAAAAACGCCGGTAACGGTTGATAGGTGGCACAAGGCGCACGAACAGCGGGTGGCCGAGGATGACACTGCAAGAAAAGCAGAGAGAGAGAGCACCCTCCACCACGCACACACACCGCGGGTATGACGGCGGCTACTTGCCCGCCTGTCCGCCTGTCTGTCCGTCCCTCTCTCTGTAGCTATCTCTCTCTCTTTCTCAATCCATCTCTCTGCATGTCGTCAGTCTCTGTCTCCGTCTCTGTGTCTCTTCATATCTCTTTCTCTCCCCCCTGTCGGTCTCTATATCTTGTCTCTCTCTCTGTCTTCCTGTCTACTGCCTGTCTGTCTTTGTCTCTGTCTCTGTCTCATTTCTGTCTCTCCCACCGGTGACGAGATGCTGGCCTTGGTCCGGGTTCCAAGCAACGTCCGTGATCGGAGCCCGGTTGGGGTCCCTCAGCTCGCACCACGGCTTCTTCTGCTTGAGGTCCCAAACGATGCACGACCCGTTCTGGGCGGCGGTCGCCATGATGTGGCACACCTGACCGGCCCGTGGATGGCAACGCCGGTGTGCGGGGAGAGGGGGGGGCGTCGAGGGTAGGTTGGAACGAGAGGCGTGGAGAGGAAATGGACACCGCAGGAGGACGAAAATCTGTGCGGAAATGGGCATTCTTAGTACCATGCAATGGTCGCAAAAGGAGGGTGTGTATGTGTGTGTGGGGGGGGGAAGGTTAAGCGATACAGCGGGGGGTGTTTTGGGATTTGAATCTTGTCACAGGCATCTCATAGGTTTTGCAGGTCATTCCTCTCGATCGGACATCCTCTCGTCTGTATCAGGCATGGAAAGGTGCGGCGCGTGTCAAAGTGGCCAGCAAACTCCAACTCGTCGTGTGCGTTACGACGAGTCACTTCCAGCAGGATCAAATACTGAAAACGAGAGATGGGCCAGTCAAGTCACCTGCGAGTTCCATGAGACCTTGGTGACCTCTGCCGTGTGCCTCGACTGCACGTGTGTCCAATTCATCCGTGAAAGAGCGGGGGGGGGGGCGGGGG